TCCTAGGAGGCATTCAAACACAAGCAGAGTCATAAAGCCAGAGAGACATTTGCACACCATTTAGGCCAATACCTTACTTTTCAAAGGAGGGCCAGCATCTTTAGATCCACCAGTGGTTAATAACAGAATCCCAGATTAGAAAACTCAAGATTTCAGAAATCCAACTTTTTCTCCAAAATAAATGCATAGTTTCATTTGCAAAGTAGGGCATTATTACCTAAAGATAACAGCATCTGCAGAAATACTTACTTAGCAACTAAATCACAAGGTCTCCCTCAGAGCTTCCTTTAGGCTAGAAATAGTCCGCGCTTAGCCAGCTGGCCTGAAAAACTACCAACAAACACAAAAAACCAAAAGAACTGCAGAGCTCATCCCACGCCCCCATCTACTCGGAGGAGTATCTGTAGCACCTTTTTTTGAGACTGAGGGTTATAAAGCTAATGAAAGGAGAAGTGCCTGGCCTTGCTTCCTCTGTGGCATGCTTTTAATACCTGGAAATACTTACCTTTCTAGTTAACCAAATGCACAACTTTTTATTCAACTGTTTCTTAAATTGAAGGCCGGCACTATTTGCAAAGACCGTGATAGCTATGACCTGTTCAGTGGCCTCAGCTCTGCCAGCAATGAACACGGGCAGACCACAGACACCGGGGTGTGTCAGGACCACCTGTAACTACAGTGTCTGGGGTCCACAGGAGTACTGAGTAATGCTGGTTTCCTGGCAGCCTAAGAGGTCTTAAGGGAAGTCACCTTCACTGTCCTGGTTCTAAAAATGCATTTTGGAAGCTCTGCTATCCTAATTTCGTCATGTTGTTTTCCTAATTTATTTTATTTGCCACAGAAGCAAATATTTCCATATTAACGCTATACTGATTATAAATAAAAAAATAAGTGTATGTCATACGTATTTCTCTAATTTACAAGAAGCTGCATTTTAAATTCACACATGAACACATACAAAGAAAGAGATGATAATTCTGCAACAAATTATCTGGTAAAAAAATGTTCTTATTTACTTTGACTTAAACACAGAGGCAGAAAGACTCATCTGACAGAGCTTGCTTGAATCACTCACAGCATCATAGTTTCATGGAGCACTAATTACATGAAAGCTGAGGAAACAGGAAAATTTATGAAATAAAGACCCTGCTTCCACGGATTCTGGTCCGAGTAAAGGTGATAAACATGAACTTAAATGCAGTGCGGGTCAGTATATAAAACGTCCCCTGCGCACCAAGTGCCTGATTCAGACGATTTACCACAAGGAATTACATGAGAGAATCTTCTGCCAGAACAGGAGACTGCAAACTGCAGCCCACAGGCCAAGTCCACCTGCCACCTTTTTTATGTGGCCCATGAGCTAAATGGCTTTTTTATATTTTTAAACAGTTGGATGAAATTCTAAAGAAGAGTAATATATTATGACACTTGAAAATTGTTTGAAAGTAACATTTCAATGTCCACAGGGTTCTATTGGAACACAGCCCCACTCATTTCTTTACATTTTCTCTATGTCTCCATTCATGTTATAACAGTGTTTAACGGTTGCTACAGGGGTTGTATGGCCCAGAAGCCTGAAATATTTACTATCCAGGCCTTCACAGAAAAAATATGGTCACAGAAAAAATCCCTGGTCTTGTGGATCAAGGTTGAATCGAATCTTGAAGGATAAGGCAGAATTTGTATTGGTAGGATAGCTAGGGGGGTGATTTAGAAAAAGATGAGCCAGGCGTAGCACTAGGAAGGCACACAGCTTATTCAGAAGGGACTGAACACGTCAGTGGTCCTGGGGTGGGGAGTTGATGAAGTCGGTGAAGAGGCCATCCACTGGAAAGACACAGCAGGCACGGCATGAGGAGAGTGAGGAGGAAAGAAGTGCTTCTCCCCACACCCACCCCCAGCCCCAAACCACTTCCATTCTCCTGCAGAAAATAAAAACCAATAAAGGCCTTTTTAAACACAGAGTGATGTATTCAAAGAAAAGTTTTTCAAAAGACTAATTTGGTGACAATGTGGATGGATAGGAAGTTGGTGGGAAAACGACGAGAAAAAGATAAGGGAAACTGAAAATAAAGATTTAGATAGAAGACCCTTAAATAGTTCTATCAGCAAAGAAGGAAGACAGAAAATCATGTGGTTGCCTCGTTGATGTCTGTATAGCTGCAGGGATCCACATAGAGGGTACTCTTAATATATGCTGCTTGGATAAATGCACAGATGGATAAAAGGAAGGAAGGAGGGAGGGAGAGAGGAAGGGGGACAGAGAGGAAGGAAGCGAGGGAAAAAACATTTGAGAGATTTTGTCAATCGACTAAGTGAAGTAAAGAATAAACACATGAACAAATTTAGAGTTTAGCTTTAGCCATGTAGCATTTTAGGCAACAAAGAGGCATTCACAAGAAAATGGCTACCAGCAGTGGGAAATGTGAGCTGCCAGCTCTGGATCAAGATCAGAATGGAGATAGAGATAGAAGCATCCATCTACTCCTTTAAAGATCGGTCCCATGAGTCTGAGAGTCCCAACAAGCTTCTCCTGAATAGTTGGTAGGAGCTTATTACGCTTATATTTACTTTAAGATGGGTAGGCAACTTTCTAAACCTGCAAGAGAAAGTTGTAAAGGCAGAATCTGTCACTGTGTCTAGCAATTTGCAAGGTATACTAGAGGTGATCTTATTAACATAACAAGCATTAGCCTCTGAGATTCCACACCCGTATCATTACTTCCATCAGCAACACAGAGAGAGAGGCATCAGGGCACCATTCTGTTATTTGCAAACAGACGCTTGCTTCTGGAAAATTATGATGCAGACTACGTGAATGGGAAAAAATACTGGTTTCATTTTTTCCCTCACCTGGATATCTCTTAAGTAGAGTCTGGGAAACCGGTTTTAAAAAGTGTGCTTATAAATGTTCTGTATTTATTCTCAAAGCTACCCTGGAACGCTTCCCTGACAATCCCATTTCTAGCAATTATCATTTTAAATTATGTTTTAACAACTAAATGACTCTAGGAGCACAGAAAGGGGCACGAACAGTTTCACGGTGTGACACACTTTCTGTGAACCGCACTGAAGCCAGAGGGTTGCAATAAATAAAGTGGCTTTTATCTCGATCAAACTTACTCAAAGATGTACGCATGTATCTCCAAAAACCCGTAGGCAGTTCCCCACTTCCTGATGAACACTGGCTTTTCTTGAAATATATGCTTAGCGGTGGAATCTAGGAAGGATCTGTCTGTGTTTTATAAGCATCATTATCAGAACAAAGGCATTCAGGGAATGAAAAATATCTCCACTAGGGATTTATGTTTGTTAAGAACTCAGAAAACACAGAATCTGCACCTGCTACAAGATAATATTGGGCTTACAAAGCAAAACAAAGATTTCAACACAAAGCTAAAGATATTTATACTCATCGGGATATTTACTGAACTGAGTCATGAGAAAATTAAAACCTAAATGACTTGTTATAAAGGCACTGAAAGTCCAGAATATTAAGACACTATGAGATACAAAGAATAGAGATTTGTGCTGGAAAACAATAGAAAAGATACTATAGATCAGATTACGAAGGAAGGAAGGGTGGAACAGGCCCTGCCAGTTCTTACTATTCATTCTGCCCACACACACATCTTACACTAAGTTTCCTATTTTTAATTGAGGTAGAAAAGGCCTCACATTCTACACTCTGGTAGTCCTGTTATGAATAACGCTGAGACCTCAAAGATGGCAACAAGAACTTAAACTGGTTTTCTAAATCTTTATCTGCAGCATATTCCACATGACATTGTCCATGCTGTCCCCATGTAATAGCATAACCTTTTCCACCTCCATCATGTAACTGAGGGCTCTCCTGTCAGCTTTACGACTGTGACAATGAAATGTACAGGAACCCTCAAAGCTGCCTACCGAAGCTCATAGAAGGTCAAGGGATAAACTAAGCAGTCTGCATATTCCTGCTGTTCTTATCATTGCCAGTAATAATACCTCGAATTTAAATAATAGCTTTCCTCCAAGGAGTCAGAATGCTTTCATATGTATAGTACTTTATTCAGCTTTACTACTTTCCTATAAACAAAAGATAGTGAGGGTTTGTTGATTCCATTTTAGATGGAAGAACTGAGAGACAAGTTAATAGTTAACCAAAAATGATGCCAGAATATGCATGATCCTTTAACCTAGGTTTCTAATTCAAAATCCCATCTTCTCTATGCTAAATTATAATTATGCAAAACTTATCTTTGGCAAGTGGTAGCTTTTTCTTGGATATTTGGAAAAAGCCTAAAGAATTAAAGGTAATTCCTGATTGCAAGTTTGAATGCAAATAATCTTTATTGAGATATAACAAGCCAAGTATTTCCAATCTTATCATTCTAATGTCAAATTTTCTAGTGTCAGAAATAATATTTGGGGGCCAGCCCCATGGTGTAGTGGTGAAGTTCTGCACAATCTGCTTCAGTGGCCCAGGTTCTCAGGTTTGGATCCCAGGTGCAGACCTACACCACTCGTTAAGCCATGCTGTGGAGGTGACCCACATACAAAATAGAGGAAGATTGGCACAGATATTAGCTCAGGGCTAATCTTCCTCAGCAAAAAAAAATAATAATAATTGGCTGTATGATGGTTAAGTATTTAAGCCTAGTCGCTACCCTGTATCTAGAGACTTTGTTTTCAGTTTTCTAATGTTCGTGACTCAGGAGTCAACTTAAAAAGAATGAAAGAAGATCTCAGTTCTTAGGAGGAAACACAAAATATAGAGTCATATTAATTATTACCGTGTTATTTCACAGATCAAAAAATACTGCTTAGACATGATTATTGATGAACCAGAACTGTCTAGAGGCAGGCACGAAGGTGTCAAAATGGAAACAAAAAGTGGGACAGAGGAGCTGCCCAGAAAGGGGAACAGAGTCTCGTGGTTCCTTACAGCAACCATTAGAAGAGAGAGGAGGGCCAAAGGTTGATGATGTCACATATGAACAGGACATATTACACATGGAAACAGGCAAGAAAAAGTTTATTTACAAAGCAAAGCTGGTACCATCAGATCCAAAAAGATGCTTGATAGGAAATCTCTCACAAAGACTAATGGAGTCCACGATTACCACGTGATGGGTATTATGCTAAGTACTTTCCACTCATTTCTTCATTTGATTCTTACTACTCTGCACATAGGTGTTATTTTGCCCAGTTTACAGGTGAGAAATTAGGTTAAGAGATGCTGCCTGACTTGCCACAGGTCCCACAGCTGTTAATTGATAGAGTCAGAATAAGAGCCTAAAATAATCTCCTTCCAAAGTTTGCTCTTAACCACTCTGCCATGCTGACTAATTTCGAGAAAAAAGATTAAACCTTTGAGAAAAACTAACAAGGACTTTTTTTCAAGGATTTTATCTCTCACACCAGTTCCTCTGTGTTTCCCTTTTTCTCTTGGACTAAAATACTCCCCCATTTACTGAGGGAGGGGGAGGTCAGAGAAACATTCACATATTACACCTATTACTCATGTCTCGAGGGAACCTGAAGGGCAACTCTGTTGGCATAGTCGTGAGCACAAGCGTAATTAAGAATTTCTAGTACCTGAGTGAGCTCCAGGATTTATCCTCCACCCCAGCCCATTATAGACCCAAATATCATCATGCACACACACATGCCAAATCCAAGTCAGTCAAGAGCATTCCTGGATACCATCATGTGCGGATCTATATAGTAGAAACCGGCCAGCTCTGCACCCTATCTAGTTTTTCTCCTGCTGGGTTCAGCTGTCCCCACCCTGGCACTAGCATCATTTGGCCATCAGAGAAGAGAAATAGCATATTCACAAGAGTGCCCAAGTAGCCAACAGAATAACTAGCTTCCATCAAAAACTAACCCTATCAGTAAAATCTGTAAAAATCTCTCAATGGTTAAGTACAGCATACAGAGCCAATCACAGCCTTGCTTTCTTCCCTGCTTCATCTCCCACTCTTCTCTTCCCACACTCCACCCTAATACATGGAATCACTTCCCAATCCGTAAATACACAATGCTCTTTCATGATACTAGGTTTTTGAAAATGCTGTTCTTTTTCCCAAGGTGGCTTTTTCTCCCTGAGCCAGTTGACAAACTCATTATCCTCCTCCAGATCCAGCTCAAACGTCCTCCCCTCTTTTCTGTATTACCTTCCCCCTTCTGTGCTCTTGGACCTGTAGAAGGCCTGTGTTCTAGCGCCCGTGATATTGCACAGAGAATTTATTCACATGTCTGTCTTCCCAGCGAATCTGCGAATCCAGCGCCTAGAGCAGAGCCCAACATATAGTAAACAATAGATGGAGACTGGATGGTCTGTGAGTGAACGAAGGAATGAGCCTGAGAACTGTGCTTTTCCTCAAATGCTTTACAGTTTTAGTTCAGACTTGTAAGTTTAGGCAGGTACTTTGGGTTACTGACATAATCGTTCTCCATGAATTCAAATAAAAGCTGTAAACATTGGTAGTTATCCAATAGAAAAAAATTCTACTTGAGATGAATGGGACTACAGAATTGGAGAGCTCACAGGACCCAAGCTCAGGAACCAGAAAGAGGTGGAGGAAGAGGAAGGAAGTGACTAAGAAGGGCAGCGTGCTAACTGGGTCGCTGTATCATCACACACACCGACAACAGCTCTGATTTACGTTACATTGCTTCAATGCTAGGAGGAGTCTTGATTCTTTGGCTAATTTTCCTCTCAGGTGACAGTGATTGGATTTCTGGCCCTTGACAGTGGTAAGGCCTTCTCCTGCTGAGCCCGTTTGTTGCCGTTCTCTCCGGCATCATTCCTCTACCGAGAATGGATTTCCTCTTTCTGGTCATCACCATTGTTTTCTTGATAAATTCTGCAGTGATTGTCATTACAGTTTGTTAGCACCCTTTGCTCTTAGAAATTACATAGTGTGATTAATGAACATTTTGCCAAAAATGTCTTCATGTTACATTCTCTGATGTATTCTCAAAAGATTGTCTTAAGGATAAAGAAAGAGGTAAAAAAAATAAATAAATAAAAAAAAGGCAGGGGAAATATACCTCTAAGAGCAAGGACATTTGAGATATAAGTTATTTGTGTTAACTGACTTTATATTCACAATAAAGACTTCAACATTTTAAGTGAACAGAATTTGCTGGGGGAAAAATAGAGTAATAGACAAATCTTATTATTTCAATAATCCATTCAATCAGCATAAGCCTGGCACTCTGCTACGTATAGATGACAAAGTCAAACAACAGAAATTTCCTAACTTATAGTTGTTCATAATCTACACGAAATAATCTAATTATAATGCAGTGATAAGAGTGAAAATAGAGACAATCTGTGTAATGGATATAAATCTCCCTTTACAAATTTGTATGCACAAGAAATATATTTGCTATTTTCTGTAATTATGCTGAATTACATTTTATACCAAGTCCACATCTTCCAGGCCAGTAGAAAATTTGCCCTTGGTAACTCTTAGTTCCTTCTCCGCTATCCTCTCACCTGGGTCATTGGAATTGGGGAGGAAAGAAGAGTGGAGAGCTTGCCCTCTGATCTTTGTTTATTGTTTGTCCTGTCTGCAGGACTCCTCAGGCCCAGGGGCCTTCAACCACCTCTGTGACCTGCAGGAGAAACGAGAAGCTCTTACCTGGCTGCAGATAGCTTTCTCTGCCTGAGTTCCCCAGGCAGCTGGTCTTGGAGGCCTCACTGAAGAGGGGCAGAATTGTGAATGTTTAAGAAGGCTGACTTCAGCATCACTTGGATTCACATCATGAACGTGCCATGTCTGTGTGACCTCCGGCAGATGTTCTTCCATTTCCTAAGCTTCAGATTTTCATCTGTAAAGTGGAGATATGTATATTACCTACCTCCCAGAGTTGTTGTGAGGACAAAATTGAGGTAATGTAACATAAAGTACTTAGCACAATTCCTGGTACATAGTCAGTGTTCAGTAGCAGTCAGCTGCTCTCATTATCATTGCTGTTGCTATTGTCATTGTTGTTACTATTACTGATCATATTCAGGGCATTGCCGAAAGGAGCATAGAGGTCCTCTCTGCTCCCAGGACCTACAGATCTCTTTCTCTTCCTTCTTTCCCCAGGCCAGGAAATTCTTTTCACCTGGGAGAGAGGTTCCCATGTTCTTCACCACTTTCACCTGGATTCTCCCCTGCTGGTTGCACATCACTTTATCTTGATATTTCTCCTACAGTCACCTAGGAAAATGGTCCCGATGGCTTTATGTGGTTTTTTGGAGAGGCAAGGAGGCTTCTTTCCCCAAAACATCCTTAGACAAAGAATAGGGAGGAGGGGAAAGGGGGAAATACAGAAAGAAAAAAAAGCATTAATTTGTATCTCAAAATATTATTTAGCTGCACTGATGCAAAGTGGTATGAGAACATTAAAAAGGAAAAACTTAACTCCCTCTGGGGAAAACAGAGAAAGGCATAGGTGATCACATCTGCATCCTAAAAGATGACTCATGTTCACTGTGGCAAAAAGGCTGGGCAGGTGCATTTCCTCACTCTCCCGTAAGCTCTCCGAGGGAAGGACCAAATTCTAATTTGTTCTCCAACGTACCTCTAATCTTTCCAGGTGCCTGGCACATCACGGACATTTAATAAACTTTTGTTTGATAAATAAAGTAAATTTCTGGAGAAGAAATAACACGCATAAAACCACAAGCCTTAAAAACGTTTAGATGTTCAGAGAAGTAACAGGTAGATGGAAGCAAAGCTTTAGAGGGTGAGGGGAGAGAGAGAGAGAGAGAGTGACTAATGGAAATAAAACACGTTATAGAACTAACCGGGATGAACTCATTGGTCTTACTAAAAAGTTTCAATTCTTCATGTAATGGAAGTATTGATTTAAGCAGAGGAGTGACCAAATCAGGTATAAATGATGAGCATGTGGGGCAAGGCTGGACACAAGAGAGAGTAGTTAGAGAACTAGGCAAAGTCTGCGGTGGTCCAGGAAAGGAAATTGAACTACTAGACATAATTACCGCTCCTCTGTAATAGAATTCTGTAATAGAAGTGTAACAGCTTTGTGGAGGGGAGGGCTAAGTGAGCTTCCCCACCTCTTGACACTAGGCTTAGCCATATGTCTTCCTTTGACAGATAGGATGTTAGCGGGCGTGGCTCAAGTAGAAGCTTGAAATGTGCTTGTGCACTTGAGGTAAGCTTTTGAGCTGAGGGGATCTGCCATGAGAAGAATATGCTTCAGTAGCCACTGAACCTCAGCCTAGGCCTCAGAATGAGACACACGTGGCAGGCCTGAACACAACATGCAGCCTGCAGCTCACAACCCAGACTCTGGAGCCCAGCCTCACCCAACTGAGACTCATGAGAATAAATCATGTTGTTTTAAGGCAGCCATTGAATTTTAGAGTAGTTTCTTAAAGGATCCTCTGGATTCTAAAACTTGAGATTTTTTAAAACTTCGTGGCCCCCTCTTCACACTGGTGTCTCTGCTATTTACAGTCTCCACAAGACTTTTAAAATTAAGAGAAAGTCCTACATTCTGGCTGGAGTCCTTGAGGAAGCCTGTTACTTTGTTCCTAGGGAAAAATGAGAAGAGTACCAAATCATTGTTTGGAAGAAAAACCTGAACTCGATGAAAAACTTCCAAAGAAAATGCTTCAGAATGGAAAGTTAAGGTTTAATAATGTAAATTGGGAAATTTTTTAGAAGAGCTTTCACAGATGTGTTTTAAGAAAATGTTTCTGTTCACAAACTGGATGTGAGCCATACTATAAGTACCAAGGACTGCATATTTGCAGAGTCGTCTGTCTCGCTCTATGAGTATTTGAAATGGAAAACAAGGATAGAGAAGATGGTATGAAGGTCTTACAGGCCCAATTCTTCCTCCACTTCATGTTACTACTAAAAAGAAGCTAGACTGGCTAAGGCTGGCACACACTTACCTGAATGACTGCATTCACATGAGGTATTACTTAAGGCAGAAAAACTCTGTTGGGTTATGGTGTTATAGGGTTATGAGTTTCAATGGTTCCTAAAGCAAAATCACAGCTTCTTGGCTAGGTGTGGAGTTTTCCTTGAAGAGAGTTTATCTTCTCATTGTCAACCATCTTGGATGAGCTCCAATGGGAGGCAAGAAATGAGGACCTAGGGCCTTAGATCGAGGTGAACAGCATCTTCTCTTTGGTCCTAGGAATTTGGAAGGGGCTCTGAGTCATGGCTATGCTGAGACATTCCTGGCAAGATGTCAGCCAGCCTGAAGCTGGACCAATGAGAGATCTGAGGTCCTGTCTACTTGAAGAATAACCACTTTTATAGCAATAGTAAGTTACTGCCTTTGTTGTACTTTCCTTCCATGGTGCCCAAACCTTTAATAAAGTCTAGTTAACATGTTAACCTGGTCTTAGTTGTGCTGTGGGAAGTTAGGGAGGGGTCTATCTCATTTTTTGGATGGAGGAGAGCAAGGGTCAGGCTTACGTGAGATCAGAAAGGCAGCAGTGGTGGTTGTCTTTCTTGGAGGACAAGAGAGCTGAGACCATATGTTTAGTGGCTTCATGAGCAGGGCCAACAGCAGAGGCAGCAGTGTGATGAGGAGGCCACCTGCCCTGGTCAGATGCGAGGCAGGACCCAGGAAAACGCTCGGAAGTAAAGAAGTCTTATTTCCAGGGATTAGGCTGGCAGAGGCACAAGCTATAATAGTCGGGGAATTAAAAGAAAGCATGATCTTACTTTCTAGTGACTAACTGGTAAACTCTGGAACATTTGGGTTACAGAAATTACTCAATTTATCACCAAATAATAGTTTTCCAATTTATGAAAGACTTTTTACTTAAAATGTAAAATTAATGCAATCCGATAAGAAAAATTAAGAGCACAATCCAAAATGTAAATTCTCAAAGATAAATATATTTTTCACCTTAAAAAATGTCTAGCTTTGTAAAGACTAACTTACATGGCAAATAACCATTGCCATGGACATATAAACAAAATATAGATGGCTAGGAGTGAAGGCCATTAGTAAGAACTTATCTAAAATTAGATGCTTTTTTTCAATGCCAAGAACATATTAATGAGAAAGAGGAAATCGTAGTCTTGGCTTTTTAAAGATGCATTTGGCTTCTCTCTTTAAAGACTACTCTTCTGGAGTGAAAGCATTAATATTTGGAGAAAATGTATACTTTCAAAAAATGCAGAACATTGTCTTTTGATTAATTATTTATAACAGCTTAAAACAGTTTGATTTCTGTAGCCAAGTTAATTCAGAAACAGATTGAGAAAAAAACAAGCTTGGTCTCCTTGTCCTAAAAAAGAAGATATGTCTGGTGCTTTTGCCTGAAGTTTAGGTTTTAACTGATAATATTTAATATTATTTAAAATTCTTAAATTTAAAAACAGCTTTTTAACAAATGCATGACATTCTACTTATTCACTTCTAACATTAATAAAATAGAAAACCCAACTACGCTGATTTTTGCAAGTGTGTGATCCTTTTATTTTGCTTAAATTCTTACCCAAGTAAGGATCTGTTTGAGCGTAATGAATGACAAGGAGAGGGATCCACTTCTGTGAAATCTTTGAGAGGAAAAGCGTTCATTTAGCTCTCACGCCATGGCACCTTATTGTAGCTCCCTTGTGTGCATATTGTACATTCAGGAACACCATAAACATTTTAAATAAGAAAATGATTTGGTGGTATAGAAAATAAAATAAGAAGACAATTTCAGTAGAGTAATTAATTTAATGCACATCCTTGTTCTTCACAGAAAAGATAATACAGACTTCATAAAAAGCCATTGAATCTTTTCAATGTTCTCTGAAATCATTCTGTAAATAATGTAAGCTCTCAACATGCCAAAAATAAGACTGTCTTATATGAAGGGGCAAATGGAGATCCGTTTGCTTCTCACAAAAACGGACAAACAACTGTTCATTGGAATTTTAAATCTTTAAGATCTTAGTACATTTTCTCTTGAGAATTGGCATTACTTTCTTGCTTTCATTTACAATCACAGTCCAGGGCTGCTTCTTATTAATATTTATTTACTTATTTATTTGTCGAACATCTGAACTCATGCCTGATTAGCCCCAGACATTTGTAAGGCCTTGTCAGAACTATAAGCTACAGGACACAGGGGACATAGTTCCCCAACAGTGCCAACACTCTTCTTTCTAAAGAGGAAAATAAGCAACCTATATGCACTGCTTAAAAAGTTTATTATTTAAAATCTATTCTTTCATCTTCAAAAACTGCATAAAAACTAAATATTCCTCCTAATGTAGAATGTATTAAAGTGCTCCTTTATCGCTGCTTAAAAATGTATCTATTCAACGCACAATGGTATCATCCTAAATAGAAACACCTGGGGTGGAATATCGGCAGATGCCAGCCAAAAAAACTTTCGTGCATAAAAAGGAAGCGTGTTAAGACTAGAGATCTATCTATTATTGATGAAATGGAGTGTCAGGAGGAAATGCAAGGAGACGAGCAATAGCAAAGTCATGAATTAAATGGTGACTTAAAAGCAAGAGTTCCTAGTTGCCTGGCACATGACACTTCCCTATTAAAGTTTATTCAGTGGGGAACGATAACACAGCGCTGTTGCTTCAAAGAGCTACGTTCAATATACAGAAAAACTACTTCAATAACAAGATGTTAGGGAGAGTGACATCAGGACCTAATGCAGTTATTTTAACAGCTTGTCCACCAAAAAAGTCTCATGCCTTCCTTGGCTCCACACACATCAGGGCTTTCTGTGATGTGTATCTTTCCCACACAGAAACAAAAGTCAAACCTGCAGTTTATCTTGTCTGAACCTGCTACACCAGAGATGAGTTTTGCAACTGTGATAACATTATAAAAATATTAATACTGAAAGAGAAGTCTCAGAATGTGGAGGAGGTTAATTCCTGAGTAGCACTCCCCAGCAAAAACACCAATAACCAAGCACAGGTTTGGATCCGGTCTCTGTGATGTCCTTGGAACTACTCCCGTAACAGTCACTTTGAAAAGCTCACAATGAAGGGAAAGTAGTCCTTCCGATATCTTTGTAACAGAAGGGGAAAGGGACTTGACCTTTAATGAAATTCCTTTTCACAGCCCTTTACTCTTCCCTTAAGTACCTTGAGAAAAAGGGTATGTGTCTTATTCATTCATGATTACTCAGTGCCTATCATGACATTTATTATTTAATTATTTCTCACAAAAGCTTATTGAATAGAAGAATAAATGAAATAAGTAAAAATGTCTAGGAGACTTTCATCTACATATTTCTTTATCTATAATGTAAGAGTAAGCACGGTAGCAAGCACTCAGTGAATGATCCACCAGCATCATGAGTCAAGTGACCAAAAGCAACAAGGCGTAATTTACTTTATTCCCTTGGAGTCTATGCTTTTGAATAAAGCAAACACAACTCAATGCACCGTAAGAATCAAGGAAAATAAAAGTTAGATCAGTGATTATATCATCTTGAAGTCCTTTAATAATTACTCCTGAAAGTTTTAGATTATGTTTCTAACAAGTTTGACAGCATTTTTTGTAACTCAGCTAGTATGTGTAGAATTGAATTCTTTATTTGGGATGGACAATATCACCTTGAGATAATAATGGCAAATAGCTTTTCTGGACAACCTGTCCAGAAACAAAAAACCATCGAGAGTTCCAGGATAGGTGTAGTTAGTGTTGGGGTAAAATTAAAAAATAAATAAATTACATGACTCACCAACTGATCACTGTACCTTCTGAGCACATTTATTTTTAGAGGTATTCAAGTGTTACCTCTTATTTTCACTGACGCGTCTGCCAAAGTATTCTTCAGTCTTTGGAACTACTTCTCAGACTATTGGATACTTTCAAACATAAAATTGCTCTCCTGCACATGCACAACTATACTTCACCCCTACACATCTTCCGCTCCTACCCCAACATGCCCATGCCCTCCAGGAAAGCAGTAAGAATAATAAAAATAAAATATTGAAAGCAAATAAATAGATGGCACACTTAATATTGTATAGTATGAAGAGGTTTTATTTACAAAGAGATTATTCAAAAAGGAGTTCGTGGCACATATATTAGAACCACAAAGGATTATCGAGAATCCATGGCTATTAGCCGCCATTCGCCCACCACTGTAGACTTGGAGGGATGAAAGAAAGGAGAAGTTACTGGAAGCCGAAAGAAGAGGAGAGTGTATCACAGCAGGCTGCCTTGAGAGGACTGAAGGCTTTCTGTGGGGGAACCGAGTCAGCCTGAGGAAACCTCACAGGAAGAAGGCTGGGAAGCTGGAGAGCGCTGATGGTATGAAAACATGTCAGCCCTGCAGGGAGAGGCAGGGTGGACTAGGGGAGAGAGTGGATTTGTGGGAGAAAAAGAAAGTTATCTGGTATGGCAACATTGGAAGAAGCCTGAGCAGGGGAGAAAAAGCCACTCATTTGCAACAATGAACGCTTATCTTATTTCCCCTTGGCAGATGCGTTTGGGTATGAATGACCCTGGAAATAATGGGATTCTGCTCCCAGAGAATTCAACAAATATTCGTTGATCAGCAGTTACTATGGGTCAAGAATTACTCCAAACACTAGGGATTAGGATATGAATAAAGCACGGACACTGTCCTGCAGAAGGTCATAGTCGGGGAAAGATTTAGGCCCATAAACAGATCATTGCAACATAATATAAAAAGCACAGTCAGTCAAAGCATGAAGTCCTTAAGGGCATGGACTAAATCGTGTTCTTTTTTGTATAACCAGCACCTAGCAAAATGCCTGGCACATACTAGGGCTAAATAAATGTTGAATAAGTGAAAAGTATCATAGGGAGTATACACGGAGGCAAGCTTGGAAGAGCCAGCTCTGCCCTCTGACAAGTCTTCAGCAAACCTGTGAGATGGCGAAAATGTGCAGTTCACAGGTGTGTTGTTTTACTCCTTCATTTACACAATTTTTCATTGTTTATTCCTTAAAAATATTTAGGGTTTCCTTTTAGTTCGTCTATGTCAGTGAAATGCTCCATCAACCCCACGTAGACTGCCGCTTGTCCCCTCTGTTACGACTTATCCCATTTCCTAGCTCCCTGCTCTGCTTTTTGTGTATGTGTGTATATACATTTACATACACACACACACACATTTTTAAACATATAATGTATGTTTTGAAATTATTCAATATATAAAATATTGTAGGTGATAAAGAAGGCATACTGAATCATTGGGAAAAAATGGTCTACTCAATTGCAGTGGGACAATTAGCTGGCAATTTGGGATGAAAGTAAATTTATAGTCTATTTCATGCTTCATATTACATTAATTTCAGATTGAGTTAAGGTTTTAAAATGGAAAAATGAAGTGATAAAAATACAGGGAGAAAATTAGTACTATGTATGTTCATCTTGAGATAGGAAAATTTTAGTTTGAAAGAAATTACTGTAAATAAAGGTGAAAAATAAATGACGATGAGAAAAATATTTGCAATATGTATGACATAGGGTTGATATCCATCTTTAAACAGAGAAGAGGGCTCTGTGACCAGGCTTGGAAGCACCTGTGAAAGCAGCATTTCCCCACAATATAAATAAAGCCAGTGTGTATACTGTTTCTCTCCTACACTGTAGCTTAGTAAATGAATAGAAAACACAAGGTAAAATTATAGCCATATTGGCCAGAGCGTGAGCAAGTTGAGGACATACACAGGTT